TTTTCTCATTATTTAGGAGACTAAGGAGCCCTAGTGGTACAGTGGGTAAAGCATTGGGCTGTTAACCAAAAGATCAGGAGTTCAAACCTACTAGCTTCTGTAAGGGAGAAAGACGAGGCAGCCTGCTACCATAAAGATTTATAGCTTTGAAAACCCAGAGGGAAGTTCTACTCTGCCTATATGGTTGCTATGAGTCAGAATTAACTTCACAGCAGCGAGTTTTGATTAGAAGGCTGCACGTTCAATTTTAGGAATGTAGGATAAAGCACTGGACTGAAAAGTTGATTTGAACTAAAAGGTCGGCAGTTCAAACTCACCAGCCACTCCTTGGAAACCTTATATAGGGTTGCTATGATTTGGAACTGACTCAACAGCACTTAACAATAACATCTTTGGAGGAAGGTCCTTGTTTCTTGGTTTCTTGAGGATCATCATGTGGTGTGTCACCTATCTTCTCTCAACTATGCTTGCTTCTTTATGTCTTCTTGCTGTTGTTGCCGAATGCCGTGGAGTTGGTTCCTACTCATAGCAGCCCTGTATAGGGTTTCTGAGGCTGTATATCTTTACAAGAGCAGAAAGCCTCATCTTTTCCCATGCAGCAACTTGTTCGAACTGCTGACCTGGAGGTTAGCAGCCCAACTCATAATTACTACACTACCAGAGTATTGTTTATGAATTCTGTGTCACCATTGCAATGGATTATTAAAACTAGATGTGAAGCCGAGAGTGCTGTGGGAGCGATGGTTGGTATAAGAATAGGGTAAAAAGACAGTTGTAGCCTCATAGGAATCCTTGGGCTGATTTTTAGCTTGATTCTCCTTCCCCCTTGAATAGCCAGAGGAAGTCAGACATAGTCTCCATACCATTCTTGTACCAGTGCATATAAAAACTATGTTTACAATGTACTATAGATGCAAAGCTGTTTGAACTGCAAGGTCAGCGGTTCAAGCTTACCAGCTGCTCCTTGGAAGCCCTATATAGGGCTGCAATGAGTTGGGACCGACTCTATGGCACTTAAAAACAACAATAGTCTATTATATGTGTAATAGCTTTATGAAAAAGTTTGTGAGAATTACCAAAATGTGACAGAGACACAAAGTGACCACATGCTGTTGGAAAAATGCTATCCAAAGACATGCTCAACACAGAGTTGGCAAAAACCTTCAATTTGCACAAAAAGCACAATAAAGCAAAGTGCAGTAAAAGGTATGCCTGTATGTTATATATTAGGAGCCTTGGAAAATTCCTGGAAAAATACCATTACCTTTTTGTTAGTTGTTTTTAAAGTTTTTATTGTGAATTGAGTGATACATGGGATAACATGGGTTTTACACTGAATGTTTCATTGCAATGATTATAATCTCCTCCATGCAACATCATTCAATAGTACTTGCTTCCATTCCCTCTGGGGTTTTTTTAGTGGGGGGGATGTTGTTGTTAAGTGCCGTCGAGTTGTTTATGACCCACAGTGACCCTGTATAGGGTTTCTGAGGAGCCGCTGGTGAGCTTGAATCTTATTCCCATCTCTTTTCACCAGACCTGTCTAGATAAGAAGAAAACTATTCAGTGGGGACTCTACCTTTTCCTGCACTTTAAAACTAAACTCCCTCTTGAAAACTTGTAAGCCAGTCACTTTGTGCCTTTATCACCCCCTCATTTTAGGTAGCCAATGTCTAAGTTGTCTGTCCCTATCAATCCTGTATACAAAGGAAAGAGGATTGATACCTGATGTGAAGACTCTTTGCCTCTCAGTCGGTATTTTGAGCTACTACATCCATAAGCATAGGTCAAGTTCATCAAATTGTAGCAATTTACACTTGTTTCCTTTATCAAAAATTGTTTATCTTCCTCTAATAGAGTTCTGGAGTCCTGGTGTGGCGCTGTGGGTTAATGTGCCAGACTGCAAAGCCATTTGAACTACAAAGTCGGTGGTTCAAGCTCACCAGCTGCTCCTCGGAAACCCTGTACAAGTCTGCTATGGGTCGGAATCAATGCGTCAGCACTTAACAACAAGTTGAGTTCTGATCATCAAGCCATCAAGGCTAGGTCAAATGGGTACTACTTGCAAGTTTGGGAGTTCTTGTGCATCTTCCCTCACTTTAAATCAGCTGATGCATCACTCTCAGCTGTAGTCCTCTGTGGCTATGTCCTTATCCATGGGCTCAGGAGTCTCTAGGTCTCACCACACTTTGGACCAACCAGCCCTTCCTCTTCTCTCTCTCATCTCCAGGTCAAGGGAGTCTATGGAATATGGTTGAAATCAGCCCATTTCTTCACTGCTGCTTTTCCCCAATTTGCACTAACCAGTAGACCCATGTGGTCACCAGCAATCTTACATGCCTGCTTATGTGTTCCCTTTGAGTTTCAGTTTTGGAGGGAAAAAATCCCACTACCTTTTAATTCAATTTTTTTTTTTACCAACTGTTTGAAAACCACTCAGATTCAGGATTTTGTATCTGTTGAAAAATTAACCCCTTAGGGCCGGATTCACTCTTCTTCCTTCTTCTAAAACCTGGACTTTACCCTAGTAATATAAACTTTGCCTCTGTTTTTACGTTTGTATTGAACAATGAGATACCAGTTTGACACTGGACAACTGAGGAGAAGATTTAGATAGTTTAAGTAACTCTCTTCCTGCGGAGCTGCAAGTTCCTCTAAAAAGGCACCAGTTCTTTCTGGTGACCTTCTCCTACAACAGTGTGTCTCAGTGTACTCTGGCCATCCTTCCATCCCTGTAGGTCAGGGTGATAATTGCTCTCTGATTAGCGCTAGGCGATTCAGCATCATTTTTAGTTTTTAGGTAACATCATTGCAAATTGCCTTTTCCTTATTGTTGTTGTTAAATGCTGTCAAGTCAGTTCTGACCCATAGCGACCCTGTATAGGGTTTCCAAGGAGCAGCTAGTGAGCTTGAACCGCCGGACCTCCTGGTGCAAATCGACTTTGCAGTCTAGAGTATTACTCCACAGCATTAATATTCTCTCCTTGCAAATGTGCCACCTCAGCTGCCAAGAATATTGGGTAATGTAACAGGTTTTCAGTACCAGATTAAATTATTTACAAGAGTTTACTTATATTGATTCTTCCTACCACACATTACTGGTGTCCCAGTGGGCACTGTGGTTTATGCGCTGTTCTGCAAAGTCCGTCTGAAATACAAGATTGGCGGTTCAAGCTCACCAGAAGCTCCTCGGAAAACCCTATACAGGGTCGCTATGGGTCGGAACTGACTCCACTTACTCACAACAACAATCACATTGCTAGATTCAAGAGAACTGATCTTTCAACCGCAGGTACTTACAAGCAGGAAAAAAAGGTCTATTAATTGGAAGTTTTGATTAGAGGAAAATGTGATAATTATTATGTTAACCTCGTTCCTCAATAGCAATGCCAATATTCTCACGATCTTGGCATTAACTCCTCAGGATTTTGTGGATGACACAATACACAATGCCAGATTTCACGTGGCCCACATAAACAGCAGCAGTCCCCGCGTTAGTGTCTGAAGCTCACTGTACTTGAGCTGAACCGGGAAATAAACATCCTCAGCAATGGCTCTAGGTTGGGGTCTTTGCCCTCTCTTTCCCACCCCAGCCCAAGTGTTAAACAATGTGCAGTTTGAACAGAGCGAAGTTATGATGGATTCCTTATGCAGTAATCAAACACTGGGCAAACTATTGTGGAAGAATGGGCAATCGCCAATACTCAAATTACAGCAAGACATTGGAATGAAAAATTATGACGGTCTTCATAAATCTCAAGATGGTGATAGTTTGAAATGTGTTATATTTGACTTAAGGCCCATAATCTTCTGAATCAATTTTCAAGAACACTGAACAGGAAAAAATGTTGTTACTGGGTTTTACGAAACCGTGCTAAAACTGTTCACAGATGTAAGGAATGGGAACAAAAGTTTTTACACCGAAAGCACGCAGCACCTGACTTACTCAGCGTTTCCTAACTCTGGACTAGACTCACGGGTGCGGCCTCCTGACCCACAGTTCCAGAACAGAAGATAACCTCCACAAAAGAGTTTCAGGCACTTGGGCGGGAAGAAGGGGTGCGGGGTACGTCCGGGGTGTGGGCAGCACTACTGCTTTAGGCTCCTTTCGGCAAAGCCGATCCCTTAGCTCCGCCCCAGACCCTCCTCCGCGGGCTACGTATCACTTTCGATTTTGAAAAAATAACAACATAAAACGCTACACGTGTATGCCTGTAGACGGTCCTTGGCTGCCGGTATCTCGCGAGAACTCCTAAAGCTTCGGTCGTCCCCGCGGAGTTCTCGCGAGGAGCCTTCCTCCAAACCCATCCACCCCCCGAGGGCGGGCTGCGTGGTGGCTCCGTCACCTTTGCGCGCGCGCGTTCACTGTGGCGGGAATTTTGCTAGTTTCGGGTTTGGACCCCTACGGAGTCTGGAATCGTGACCCATACCGCTGGAGACAGGTTATAAGGAACTGGAAAAGTGGGCAGGTAAGACGTATCGGTGAATAGGGGGAGCCGGGGAATCTAGCTGCCGCCCTGTGAGGGTACGGCTCCTTACACCTCTTGTCTCGGGAAACGTGGGAGTCCGCGCAGCGAGGTTGCTTGAGATCTTTCCACCGCTGGGGAACGCGCTCATTGCTGTTTAGTAACGTAGCTGAGGATACATTTCGAGGCTAGCTCGGGATTGAACCTGGATCTGCTGTCACCACTCAACCTTGGACTGCAGGGTCTGACCTAGAGGAGATTTCAAATCGCTGCGAGAGCAAATCGAGTGTGCATTTAGTCCACCTTTTGACGTGTAATTTTTGTTGAAAATTGACTTCTCGATTCATTTTGTTTCCCTCTGCGGGCCGTTGCGGGTGTGTGTGTGCTACTTCTCAGTTGCTTTTCGAGCTCTCTTACTTTGGTTGTAACTACAAACTCTTTGCCTTCCCCACCTCCAGGACTGTCTTCAAAAGTTCTTTGAGGAGTCCCGAAAGGTGATCATAGTAAACCCCAAACATTTCAGGACATGAAGCAATGGATAACTGTTCATCTTTGTCCACCTTCCTGACCGACAGCTTGGAGTTAGAACTGGGGACCGAATGGTGCAAACCCCCTAGCTTTTCTTGCGCTTTTGATGATAGAGGAAGTGGAAAAAGGTTTTCTGGAGACTCTTACCTTTCCAGTGGATCTCTTAAGCGGTAGGTTAAAACAAAACAAAACAGATGCTTCTGGATTTTCCCTTATCAGATTATTCATCAGTTTGTTAGGAATGCTATTTAATTATTTCTATTACACTTTGATTTTCACCAACCAGTGTTTTGAAATCAGTTAAGTTTACTAAAGGAGTGCAAAGTAATATTCTGTTGTTGATTTCCTGGTTAGAGGATAGCCAAAAGTATTGAGAATGTCTTAGGATGGTTGATGTTCTTTTATCTCACTGTTACTTCAGTTTTTGAGTAAGAAATTTGGCATTAATTTCTCCTTTACTTCAAATGAATTCTGAACTTCCTGGGCTTTTGAAATATTTTCTTGTAAAGGATGAGATAATATTCCAAAGCTTTTTCAATGATTCTTAAGCCCAGCATGCATATTTGTTGCTGCCCCACTTCCTTGTAACTGTATGTACCCTAAGCCTTAGACACTTTAGCTTTAAAAAAACCAAAGCTTTTCTAATAAATGCACCAGATTGTGCAGTTTCACAGAATTAATTATTTTTCCAAATTGACGCATTAGGCACATATTGCACATACCGCAGTAAAACTGATATTCTTAAAATGTTTTAGGACTGTTTATTTGAGACCCTAAAAGAGATTGTTGTTGTTGTGAAGTGCAGTTGAGTCAGTTCCGACCCATAGCAACCCTGTATATGGTTGCTAGGAGCATCTGGTGAGCTTGAACTGCCGACCTTGCAGTTCAAATGGCTTTGCAGTCTGGCTCATTAACCCCACAGCACCACACTAGGACTCCTAAAAGAGATTACTCACCTTTATTGTGTACATGAGACATGACTTAAATAACCTTTAACTGTGTTTAAAAAGACCAAATGTCCTTCATGTAAACGTAATTCTACCACAACTGAAGACCAGTAATGATGATAGACACAAGTGTGTTCCTTAGGCTCGTTCTGTATATTTCACTTTAAGTTACATTGATCTTTGTACTTTTTATGACTATATGTGACTGCATCTTTAATGTAGTCTAGCTGTAGTAGTAATCATGGATATGTAATGTGCCAAGGCATTTCTTGACATTATGACATCATTTTTGGTGTGTCATGTATAGTATAGATACGTATAATATCAGTAAAGACCTAATGTGGTATGAATGTATTTTTTATGAAATTAAATTTCATTTCAGGCTAATTTTGAATCTTGATCCATTACCAACCAATTTTGAAGAGGATACAGTGGAAATATTTGGCTTTCAATGGGTTACTGAAACTGCTTTAGTTAATTCATCTAGAGAGCTTTTTCATTTATTCAGGTACGTTTTTTTGGTTTTTGTTTTTATAATCACCTTAAAGTATGGATGTTTAATAAGTTACATTGCTGGTAGGTTTCTCAGTATTAGGAAGCAACTCATTAAAACCATTATTCCATCAATATTACTATTGGTGCATAATCAAGTAAGCAGTAACCAGAACTCTTATTTAAGTATATATTGAAAAATACAAACCTGTGAGTATAGTGTTGTTCCAGTTTGTAAGTTACTTTGCTAGTTGGTTTCTATTTGGTTATATAAAAACATTACCTGTTGTTAAGTATCGTCAAGTCTGTTCCAACTCATAGTGACCCTGTAGGGTTTCCAAGGAGCCTATGGTGAGTTTGAACTGCCGACCTAGTAGTTATACCAATCTTGTGGTGCAGTGCAATTCCTACAGAGCTACACCAGGACTCTGAAAGTAATTTCTGTTTATCATGTAAAACCCAGTCCATATTTCAATATTAGATGGTATTTTTAGGAGTCAGTTATTGAGGGCAAATTATTATCCAAAACCAATTTAAGAATATTTGGAGTCCTGCTGTGGTGCGTGGGTTAATGAGATAGACTGCAAAGTCAGTTTGAACCACAAGGTTGGTGGTTCAAGTTCACCAGCCGCTACTTGGAAACCCTATATAGAGTTGTTCTGAAACCGACTCCATGGCACTTAATAACAACAACAGTGGTACATTTGGAGTCCTAGTGTGGCACTGTAGTATAAGCACTGGACTCCTAACCACAAGATTGGTGATTCAAACCCACCACTTGTTCCTTGGAAATGCTATACAGGGTTACTATGAATAGGAACTGACTCCATGTCAGCACTTAACAAAAACAACAATGGCGCATTGAAATAAAAATGGAAAGGCAGAAAGATTTCTCCTATGCTATTGGAATGAGACCTTATGAAGAACTATTATTGTGTCTGTGTTTTTCTACATCCACTATGCTATGGGAAGAGCAGGTTAATATACTAGGAAGAATGGCAAGAGAAAATTGCACTCCATACTATAAGCAGGCCTGTGAACCACAAGGTCTGCGGTTTGAGCCAGCCATTCTCTTGGAGAAAGATGAGGCTTTCTGCTTCTGCAAAGATTTAAAGCTTTAAGTTGAAACTGACTTGATGACACTGAACAGCAACAACATCAATATAACTGGCTGGCAACACCAGTCTACATTCTGTTCCTTTTCTGAATTACTGTATTATTCTATGCTATAATTTGGAGCTCTGGTATGGCACTGTAGGATAAGCACTGGGCTGCAAGGTCATTTTGAACTACAAGGTTGGTGGTTCAAACCCACCAGCTACTCCTCAGAAACCTTGTACAGGGTCACTGTGAGTCCAAACCCACTGGACAGCACTTTATAATAACAACATATGATACAATTTAACACTTCCTTTTAATTGTTAATCTATGATGTTTTATATAAATACTTTAAACTTGGGAGATACGAACAGTACTGATAGTGAAATGTATGATGTTTAAAAATTACTTCTAAGTTACGTGCAGCTTTTTAAATAACAGTTTTGGAAGGTGAGACAAAAGCGCATTTTATCTTCTCACAGTCTTTGGTACTCCAAGCTGACTCTGCAATAAACATTCACTAAACATTAAATGTCATCTACAATAAATCTTCATAATAGATTTAGGAACATTTACCATGTTATTGTTACATGCTTTGAATTATGGTAAATTCATTCTTACCTTATATTTTTTAAATTAGGCAACAACTATACAACTTGGAAACATTATTACAAGCCAGCTGTGATTTTGGTAAGTTTAAAGTGTGCTTATTGGCAAAAAGGAATGCAGTTCTATTGCAGAGAATTTCATCTGGGGTCATAATGGCTTCATTGCAGTCTCATGAATAACATAGAGGAATTGTTAGGTCAGAAGTTTCAGACACAGTGTGTTTAGTGTTCAGAGACTCTATGGCGTTTACATTATGTTGTAGCTAAGATTTATAATAGTTTTACAAGTTCACTTTCTGAAGTGAATTAGTACTTACTTTGGTGCTAGAGAGAGAATTTATAAGAGAAGTAAAAAGTGCTCAAAATTGAGGTGTTTGTGTCTTTCTGTTTTCTGTTTGCTCGTTTGTATGTTTGTTTTTGGCATTTAGTAGATTGCATTACTTTTGTGAGAGTAGCATATTTGAGGTTGTGAAGAGAATTTAAGGGCAGTATTTTTAGTGCTAGGAGTCCCTGGTATGGATCTGTAGACTAAGCACTGGACCACAAGATGAGTTTAAACCACAAGGTTGCTGTGAGTCGGAATCAACTTGGTGACAGTTAACAACAGCAGTAACCTGTTTTAGTGTGGACTCCTGGTGTGGTGCTGTAGGATCAGCACTGGACTGCTAACCTCAAGGTCAGCAGTTCAAACCTACCTGCTGCCCCTCAGAAACTATACAGGGTCACTATGAGTCGGGGCTGACTCGAAGACGTTTAACAGCAGTAGTATGTTTTAGTGCAGGACAATGTAGGCTGAATCACAAAGTTGTCAGTTGGCGCCCACCAGCCACTCTGAGGGAGAAAATGAAACTTTCTGCGCCTGTAAAGATTTACAGCCTCGGAAACCCTACACAGGGTTGCTATGAGTTTGAACTGACTTGACAGCAGTTAACAACAGCATATTTTAGTATAGGCTAGCTGCCCTCTTTTTCTGCACTTTTGGTACAGTGTAATATTTCAATTCAGGTCATTTGATATGTGTGGTTCTCACACCACATTATAGTTTCTACCTCATTGAGTTTTTGGTGGATTAAATGACATATCGCATGTTAAGTGATTAGACCAGTGTCTATGATTAGTAATGTCCAGTAATCAAACACCACCAGAAACACAGTTTTGGCCAAACTGGTATATTAACTTACTGAAGAAAGTTACGTACATCATGAGGAACAGATGGGATCTCTCAGTAAGATGATCTTCTCAGTAAAAACGGGTAGAAGGGGCTTGTACTGACTGGTTTTTAGGGAGGTTTTAAAGAGCTTTATGACCCTATATGAAAATTGTTTATTTTCAGCAGAGACCATTCTAGCCTAGCTGTTTGCTATCATTCCAGGGCATTTTGTTTTGTTTTGTTTCCAATATGTGCTTAGTAAATGTTAAGTTTATTGTTTCATCGACACAAAATGTTCCTGCTTTGTGTCAGGCACTTTATGAGGTACTGAAGTGTCAGAAAGGAAAATATGCTGCTGAGAAGTTTGCAGCTAAGTAAGACAGATAGGCATGCAAGCATAGTGTTGTTGTTAAGTACTATTGAGTCAGTTCTGATTCAGCGACCCTGTATAGAGTTTCTGAGGAGAGGCTGGTAGGTTTGAATTTATGACCTTGTGGTTAGCTGTGCATTGCTGATTCTTCAGCACTACACCAGGACTCAGCAGGGTAAATGGAACAGTGTAGTGGTAGAGGCATGTACAAGTTGTTTTGGGAGCCAAAGATGGTCTCATTGTTCTGCCCATCATTAAGTAGTGCCAATTCAGGTCTTCAAGGATGGGGAGGAGTGAGCTAACCAAAAGGTTTTTGGACAGGAAGCATTCCAGGTAGAAGCAACGGTGGACAAAGACGGAGTAGTAATTGTATATGGTTGGATTAGTGTGTGAGAATGATGTATTTGGAAGGTATGAAATCACCATTGCCTTTGTTAATCATGCCCAAAGAGCTTGATTTTTTGTTGTTGTTTTTTTAATCTTGTAGGAATCTCTAGAAAGTTATAGTGGAAATAACAAACAAATTTTACTATTTAGAGTGGTTAAAGTGGCTTGGGTTCATGAAGGTATTTATTATACAAGATTATTCCTTTAAAAGCACTTACTGACCTATAACTATTACTGTGAACTGTTTGTTAAAATGGTTATTTATTACACTGAAATTGTGGCTCATTTTGTTGTTTAAAAAAAAAAGCTTTTAGTCACTTGTCTGTTGGCCAGGTTAGCAGTTGCTGTTGTTAAGTGCCTTTGAGTTGGTTCTGACTCCTGGCGACCCTTTGTAGGATTTTCGAGGATGTAAATCTCTGCAGGAGTAGAAAGCCTCCTCTTTTCCCCACAGAGCGACTGGTGGGCTCAAACTACTGACCCTGTGGTTTGCAGTCCAGTGCTTACCCTACGGAGTTTAGCTGTATTAAAGATTATCCCTAAATAGTCATGCCCCAACCATACATCTCTTAGGGCTTTGTTAATAAACTTGTGTAGCTAGCTTTGCCCTTGTATGTTTCCCAGAGCACCCTTATATTGTATCGTTCAACTTGTTCTCTTCTCGATGCTCCTGGAATTACTTTCCAGTTATGGTCTGGTCTTAAAATATAGTTGGTATTATCCTTTCTCAGGTTGATGTTTAGAAGCAGACAGTATTTAACTTTCTTTTATCTGTTGACTTCTAATCTGGAATAGAAAAATTTCACTCACTTTATTACCACCTCACAAACATTTTCTCTCCCCCATCCTTGAATATACGATGCTTGGGTTATATACGATTAAGTAAATATTAGTGTTTATATTAATATGATAGTGTAAATGCTATACTTCTTCTACTTTGTGTACAGCAATTTTTTTTTGTAGAGTTAATCATTGCTTCTCATTTTTACTTGCTGTTTGTTTATATGTGCTAAAACCAAGTGAGAACCATGTCTGACTTCCCCTGGCTACACAAGGGGGAAAGAGAATCAAACTGAAAATCAGCCCAGGGCTGATGATTCCTATGAGGCGAGGTCTACCTTACAACCATCTTTACCCTATTCTGACACCAACCATCCCTACCACAGCACTTTCTGCTTCACATTTGGGTTCGATAATCCGTTGCAATGGCCACACAGAACTCATAACAATAATTATGATCATGGGGCTTATTAGGGAAGTGAACAGGGTACAATTCAGGATCCAGTCAGGAAAGCCTCTTGTCTGCCATACTGCAGGCCTGCCTCACTCTTATCTTCGTCTCTTAGCCATATGGCCCCTTGTCCTCTGCCTCAGTCCATGGGCCTAGAGTCTACAGCTGCTCTGTCTCTTCATGCCACTGCCTCTGCTGTCGCTGTATTTCTAGGTAGGGATCTTAGACTCCACTCATGCTTTTCTTTCTTGATGATCCTGGGATCTTCCGTCTCTGGGATGTTCCTTTAAAAAGATGAGTCCTTTTAAACCTAGCTGCAGGGCAAAACTAACCAATCCCAGCGTTAGAGTCCTGTATACCTTATTTGCATGGTCCCACCTGATCCCTTGGTGGGAATTAAGAAGACTTTGGATAGAAAAGCCATATCAAGTAAATTCAAGGTGCCACAATATGCCTGTCATTTTATGAATCAATTAATACCACTATTAACACCACAAGCCAACACTCGTCTGTCAGCTTGTCATTTGTGGTGACTGATGTGTTACTGTGATGATGGAAGCTATGCCACTGGTATTTTATAGACCAGCAGGGTCACCCATAGTGGACAAGATTCAGTGGAGATTCTAGATAGACTAAGATCGAGTAGGAAGAAGGAGCGGTAGACCACCGTGCTTTCTCCACAGTGCTGCAGGGAAATAGGCTCACATGCTTTAGTAAAGTGGCCTAAATGGTGTAGTTCGAGGCTATTTCAAGTTTGAACCTGGATCTATTCTGCAAATATTTCCCTCTAACCTCACCACTGCCCTAGGCTTCAGAGTCTGACTTACAGAAGAGATCCATATTTATACCCATTCCAAAGAAATGTGACCCAACAGAATGTGGAAATCATCAAACAATATCATTAATATCAAATGTAAGAAAAATTTTGCTGAATATAATTTTAAAATGGTTGCAGGTGTACATAAATAGGGAATTGCCAAAAGTTCAGGCAAAATTCAGAAGAGGATATGGAACGAGGGATATCACTGCTGGCGTCAGATGGATCTTGGTGAAAGCAGAGAATACCAGAAAGTTGTTTGTTATTGTTAATAAGTGCTGTTAAGTCAGTTCTGGCCCATAGTGATCCTGTATAGGGTTTCCGAGGAGCAGCTGATAAGCTTGAACTACCGACCTTACGGATCAAACCGACTTTGCAATTCAGCGCATTAACCCACAGCTCCACGCCAGGACTCCAGAAAGATGTTTACCTGTGCTTAATTGACTATGCAAAAACATTAGTCTGTGGATACATTGCAACAAATGGGAATTCCAGAACACTTAGTTGTGCTGATGAAGAACCTGTACATAAACCTAGAGTAAGTTGTTTGAGAAGAGCAAGGGCCTGTGGAATGGTATAAAGTCAGGAAAGGTGTGCATCAGGGTTGTATCTTTTCACTATACTTATTTAGTCTGTGAGTAAGTATGGTGAAATAAACTGGATTATATGTAGAACATGGCATCAGGATTGCAGAAAAAATCATCAACAACCTGCAATATGCAGATGACACTAACTTGCTGAAAGTGAAGAGGACTTGAAGCACTTGTTTATGAAGGTCAAAGACTACACTCAATGTAAAAAGTAAAAAGCCCTCAGTACTGGAACAACAAATAGTTTGGTGAACACGTGGCCCAAGCTTTTGTATTTTCAATTGCCCCTTCCTTGTGCTTAAGAAAGCTGGACAATGAATATGAAAGGCTATAGAAGAATTGATGCATTTGAATTACATGTGTTGGCGATGGATATGGAAAGTACCTAGGACTGCCAGAAGAATAAACAAATCTCTGTTGGAAGAAGTGCATCCAAAATGTTCTTAGAAGCCAGAATGGCTAGACTTAGTCTCATATATTTTGCATATATTATCAGAAAGGAATAGTCCCTGAAAAAGGATATCATGCTTGTTTTGGAAACGTATAGGGTCAGTAAAAAAAGAGGAAGACCCCCCCCCCAATGAGATGAATTGACAGTGACTGCAACAATGACCTTAAATATAATTGTGAGGGTGATGTAGGACCAGGCAGTGTTTCATTCTGTTGTGCGTAAGGTTTCTGAGTCAGAACTAACTCCATAGCACCTAACAACAAAAATACCAAATGTGTCAGGTAGTCCATCTTATGTTTATATTGTTTCCTTGGAAACCTTTTTCCTTCATCCTTTTCTAATATGGATCCAGGGTTTGCTGTATACTTACCAAACTAAGACATCCCTTCATAATCATTGTACCATTTCCTTTGCCTCTCTCTTTTGATAGATTACCTCTCTGTATCCAATGTATGCCTACATGACCAATTTCCTTTGAAAGTATCAGCATAAAGCTAGTTCCTGTAAGATGGAGATTAAAGATGTCCCAAATGTCTAACTTTTCCAAACTACTTTACCACTCCATCATCACTGACATCTCCTCTTACTGCTCCTCTCAGCACTTTCCCTTCCATCTTTGGATTCTGTAATTCGCTATAACACCTCACAGAACTCATGAACTGTCAAGGAAATGTCTTATACAGTTGTGGAGACTGGCAAGTTCCAAATTTATATGTCAGGCATCAGACTGGATGCTTCTGATTTGTGTGATTTCAGGGGCTGATGAACCCAAATCAGCAGGTCAGGTGATAGACTGCTGGCTAATTAGGTCAGACAGTAGGCTCAAATTCCAAGAAATGGGTTGGATGGTGACGAGCCAATTGTAGGCTGCAGAACATTCATATTATTGGATATAGAACTTGCCCTCCAGAAACTCCCGTTAATTTAGCAAGATGGTACAAGTGTTTGTGTGGTAGTGACTAGGATAAGGGAAATGACTTGAGTCATACTTTCTAGTAAGGCAGTAAATCAAGATACATCCCACCGTAATCCTTTCTTTTGCCGATCGATCCTCCATTCTACCAAGCATGATGTCCTTCTAAAGGACAGATCCCTACTGATAACATACCCAAAGTGGTGATGGTGGTTATGTGCCGTGGAGTCGGTTCCAACTCATAGCGACCCTGTACAGGGTTTCCAAGGTTGTAAATCTTTATGGGAGCAGAAAGCCTCATCTGTTTCTCACAGAACAATTGGTAGTTTTGAATTGTTGACCTTGAGGTTCGCAGCCCGATTCATAACCACAGTGCCACCAGAGGTGAAGTAGCTGTATCCTGGCTTCTAAGAAGCATTCTGGCTGTACTCCTTCCAAGATAGATTTGTTTGTTCTTCTGACAGTCCGTGGTGCTTTAAATATACTCTTCTTCAATATCAATCCCTGCATCAAATTCTTTTCCAACATCATAACTCAAAGGCCTCAATTTTACAGTCGTCCTTATTATTCATTGTCCAACTTTCACATGCATGTAAGGCTATTGAAAATACTATTATCTTGGGTCAAGTGTGCCTGAGTCCTCCTTAGCTGTTGAGCACTTTGTTGTTGTTGTTGTTGTTAAGTGCCGTTGAGTCGGTTCCGACCCATATTGAGCACTTTAAAGAGGTCTTATTCAGCAGATTTGCCCAGTGCAAATCCATACGAAGAAATCAAATCCATTCATCATTTGATTTCTTGACTGCTGCTTGCTTGAGTGTTGATTGTGGATCCAAGCAAAACAAAGTCTTTAAAAACTTCAATCATTTCTCCATGTATCATGATGTTGCTTATTAGTCTAGTTGAAAGGATATTTGTTTTCTTTATATAGAGGTGCAATCCATACGAAGACTGTGGTCTTTGATGTAAGTATTTTTAAGTCCTCTACACTTCCAGTGTAGTGGTTACAAATCGGGCTGCTAACCTCAGGGTCAGCAGTTTGAAACTACCAGCTGTTCTATGAGAGAAAGATAAGGTTTTCCGCTCCCATAAAGATTTACAGCCTCAGAAACCCTGTACAGGGTTGCTATGAGTCGGAACTGACTCCACGGCACATAACAATAACAACAACACTTCCAGCAAGCAAGGCTGTAAATCTATCTTTATGGGAGCAGAAAACCTTATCTTTCTCTCATAGAACAGCTGGTAGTTTCAAACTGCTGACCCTGAAGTTAGCAGCCTGACTTGTAACCACTACACCACCAGAGAACCTTAGTTTGCCCATAGAATCCTTCAATATTGAAAATCAATTCTTGAATTTTTTTCTGTTGTACATAGAGCCACTATGAAATATCAGGTACCTAACAGTAGTCCTTACAGTAGCAGGTTACCTTATCTTTTTCTCATGGAGCCTCTGGATGGGTTTGCACTGCTCATCTTTCAGTTATCAACCGAGCACGTAATTATATGGCAACCAGGGCTCCTTCTATTCCATAGGAAAACCGAAACCAAACTCCCAGCCACTGAGTTTATTACAACTCATAGCAACCCTAATAGGGTTTCCAGTACTGTAAAATCTTTATGAAAACAGACAGCTTCGTCGTTTTCCTACAGAGTGACTGGAGTGTTTGTACTGCCCACCTTAAGGTAAGCAGTCTGACGCTTAACTCAGAGTACCACCAGGTCTACTTTATTCCATACTCTGTTTTTAAGTGCCATAGAATTGGTTCTGACTCAGCATTGGATTTCTTAGGAGTGACTGATGAGTTTGAACTGCCAACCTTGCAGTTAGCAGTCCAAAGCTTAGCCTATAGCACCACACAATGACTCCTTTTTCATACTGTTGTCACGTGCTGTCGAGTCGGTTCCGAATCATAGTGACCCTGTATAGGGTTTCTAAGAAGTGGCTGGTGAGTTCGAACCACCGATCTTATGGTTTAAACCCACCTTGAGGTCGAGCACTTATCCTATGGCATCACACCAGGACTCTATTCCATACTGTTGTTGTTGTTGTTAAGTGCCTTCGAGTCGGTTCCGACCCATAGCGACCCTGTACAGGGTTTCCGAGGAAACAGTGTCTAAGTATGCATTTGGAGTCCTGGTGTGACGCTGTTGAATAAGCACTGGCTTGCTAACTGCAAAGTCGGCAGTTCAAACCGACCAGCTGCTCCTTGAAAATGCTACAACAGTGTTGCTACTAGTCTGAATCGATTTTGTGGCACTTAATAACAACAACTAATGTGCATATATAGAGGGGAAATGTAAGGAAATTAAAATTTAGTCAGATTACTTAGAAAAATGGAATTAAGTATCAGAAGAAACAGCTAATAATTAAAAGAATTGCAAATTCATTGTTTTTGGGAAAACTATGTTAAAAAAAAAAAAAAGATCTGAGTATTTGCACATCAATTTCACTTGGTTTTGCCAGAGTAGCGGCAGTGTTTGCACATTTGAATTTCAATTTAGAAATGAGTTTGCTTTATGTTTAGTAGAGAATTTGTTGCTTATAAATCTCATCATGCTTTCACTGCTTTTGTTAATGATTATCTCTTATTCATTTTCCTTAGAATTTCCTACGTAGTAGTGACCCAGATGTTTTTTGTTGAAGGAAGTGTAGGCAAGAGGGCATGTGATAAGGTTGGGAGGGACATAGGAACTACTTGTATTAATAGGTCATTCATGGTCTTATAATAAAGATTTTTTATTATATTATGACTGAAGTTTATAGTCTTTCTTAGATGTTGACAGAGGAGAGGCAGGAGTTGATATATATCTCAGGGTTTCCGAGGCTGTAAATCTTTACGGGAGCAGACTGCCTCATCTTTCTCCCGCGGAACCGCTGGTAGTTTCGAACTGCTGACCTTGTGGCTCGCCGCCCGATTCATAACCACTATGGTAGTTTCGAACTTCTGACCTTGTGGCTCGCCGCCCGATTCGTAACCACTACACTACCAGAGCTCCTTGATAATGTACTTAGTCTAAAGTAAATGCACAAAGGAGGAAGAGGGGGAACTTGTTAGAAGTCGTGTTGCAGTAGTCCAACCAAAAGATTATAGGGTCTACATAAAGAATCTGCAGAGTTTCATAGTAATTTTGGGCATAAGTTTAGGACTCTGATGGATTAGATATGAGGTTAAAGAGAGGAATCAATACTATGTATAGGCAGCTGGTGACCTTTAATAAAATGGAGAAAACTTGAAAATTTGAGCAGTGAGAACAGGTTTTGGGAGGGAAAAAAAGGTTCATTTTATGAGCAACACAAATGTTAGACAATTTGACATACAAGATCTAGAGTGCAAAGGAGGGGTCTGGAATTTGGATAAGTCTTTTTAGAGTCATTATTATTTAAAAACAAAGGAGTTGATTGAAGTAATTCATGTAAGAAGAGAGGTAGAAAGAGGAGGGGACTAGGACTGAGACCTGATACAATCCCATGTTGTGGAGTTAAGGAAGATCCCATAAAAGAGAGACAGAACAAAGAACAAGTAAGGAAGAAAGACGACAGGTAGTATATGGTGTCAGTGAAGCCAACTGTTACCAATGCTATTGCAAGGTCAGGTGACTGGAAAACAGGTAGAGTCCATTAGATGCAGCAGTGCAATGTGGGTTTCATTGGTGACCTTAAGAAGAACACTTTGTGGACTGCTGGGGCAGGAGACAAATGGGAATCAATTGAGAAACTGCACGAGAGACAGTGGCTGTTGGTATGGCTTACAAAGTTTTTGTCTTTGTCCTCTTTAATTATTTAAGCTGTTAACATTGTCTATTTTTGTTTTAGGACAGGTATCAGCCCTCCACTGTAAAGCAGACAATATTAGACAACAGTGCATACTGTTTCTTCATTATGTTAAAGTTTTCATCTTCAGGTAGGATGTCAGCTGAGGCACTGTGATTATTGCATGAATTTCTAACTGTACTTTGACCTGAACTGTGAGTGTTTAATGAGTCTTACTGTTTATTAGGTACCTAAAAGTGCAGACCATTGAGCGTGACGTTCCTGTCCATTCCTATGAGGCTTTGGAGGCCCAGCTTCCCTCAGTCCTGGTTGATCAGTGTCATGGATTGCTCTTGTATATTGGACATCTATCTGAACTTCCCAGTATTAATATAGGAGCATTTGCAAATCAAAATCACATTAAGGTTTGACTTGTTTTGTTTACTTTTTCAATTAGCAGCTTTTTCTCCTCACAAGGAGTGTTTATTCTAGAATAAAGGAAGTTAGTCAAAAATAAAAATTGAGAGAACCAGACTACCTGAGTTGAATTCTAGCTTCTTTATCAGTTGTGTGGCTTTGACAAATAGCATCTCTGTGCTTCAATTGTCTCATTTGTATAATTGACATAAATTCCATAGAGTTGTTGAGAAAATTAAATAAGTAGGTTTATGTAGTGGACTTTGAACCAGTTATTCAAGATTGTAATAGTTTAATTGCTCAATAGTTTCAGAGCCAATAGATCAATTTGTAGTTTCGAAAATTTTTCTTTTTTTTTTCCTCACTGGTAAAGGTTGAACAAGCCCTCATTTATATCGTAAACAAATTGAAAAGATCCCATCAAAAATACTTTTAAAACCATAGGTCTCTTCTGACTTTGAGACCTTTTTGGAATGTGATTTAGGATTGTTTTGACTACCTTTTTAGTCCATACATTTGATAATCATTCCCTCAAAGTTGGTTTATAAAAAGTTGTTGTGTTGGCATGCTTTAGAGGTAAAAGTAACATATTTTTTGTATGAAAACACAAACTTACATAAAACACAGTGATAACTCTTAATTTACTATAAGCACTGAACTGCTAATCACCATCTGCTCCTCAGAAATACTATACAGGATTGCTATGAGTCAGAACCAACTCCACTGAACTTACCAAAAACAACAGTGTGGTATTCTTTTAAGTCTCCATTATGTTTGACTTTACCAATTTGAATGGTAGAATTTTAGGGAACCTGTCTGCAGAAATAAAGAATATGTACTAGGGTCCTCATACTGAGATTTGCCTTTTGTAGACCCTTTAACCATGCTTGAAATGATAGTTATTTGAAGATCAAAGCACTGAATTTTTAAAGCCGGGAAATTTATATCCTTTAGTAAATAAACAAACCGTACATCATAATACTGTTTTTCTTCAAATAAACAGAAACATCTTACAAAATATATTGTTGCTGTTGTTAAAGTGCTGTCGAGTCGGTTCCAACCCATAGCGACCCTGAACAGGATTTCCAAGGCTGTAAATCTTTACGGGAGCAGAAAGCCTCATCTTTCTTCCGTGGAGCATCTGGTAGTTTCGAACTGCTAACCTTGAGGTTCGCAGCCCAATTCATAACCACTATGCTATCAGAACTCCTTTGCAAAATATGAAGCACCACTAAATATAAAGCACCTTGCAGTACCCTACATATTTATTATATTTCACCAATTTTATATATGAGGAATCTTGTTTTAATTGATAGTTTTAGTTGAGCATCTGTTTTATTAATTTATAGGGACTTTTTTATTAGACAGAGTATTTGTTGGATATTATGCATTACAGATACTTTGTTCTATTTATCATTTCTTTCACTCTTTAGCCTGAGCTACAATGACTGAGTAGACAACTTAAGTTTTTTTAATATAATTTATTCTTTTTCTCTTTTATGTACTTTTCTGTGCTGTTTAAATTTTTGTTGTTGTTGTTTTACATTTATCTCTAGTTTCTTTTTAAAATATGCTTTGAATTGAGAAACCAAACTTTACTTTCTTATAATAGATACATAAGTTATTAATCATGCCTTTTACAGAATGTCTCATTCTGTCCCTACTGATTTGAGATGTTACTTTTATCTATTTGTCTCTTCTTTTTTCTTGCTAGTTATCATTTATTCTTATGCCAGTACATTTTTATTAGTATAATATTGTATTTTGTTTGGTAAGGCAACTCTCCTCGCCATCTTTTTCTTAGTTTTTTAAATAGAATGTGTATCATTATGCTAATTTTTATGATGCTAGAAGTCAACTAGATGAAGGCTTGGTAGCTCAGTACCACACAGTAGTTTAAAGCACTGGCTTTTGAGTCAGTAGACTTGGGTCTGAATCCAGGGCATGAATTGATAAGTAAAAAATCTTTTCCGATTTTAACTTCAGTTTTTTGATAGAAATGACAGTAGTATTTTGTGTACTTTTAAGTATTTAATGTGTAGGAGTCTAAAGTTCTCATCTAATTTAAAGACGTTCATGTGAAATTACATAGGATATATTTGTATATCCTAGCTGTGGTATGGCATTGTATTACAAGCACTGCTCTGCTAACAGCTAGGTCAGTGGTTCAAACCCATCAACCGCTCTCAGAAACTGTCCAGGGTCATTATGAGTCAGAACCAACTTTGTAGCACACAAGAACGGCAAGAACAATGTATATCCTAGCTAGATGCTAAAATAGTATCATGAAAATAAGTGTGTTGAAGCTTTCATCTGCTGCTTTGCAGCGTTAACAGAATCAGAGGTTGGTTGGAAAGGACCTTTATTATACAAGTCTTATCAGCAGCCCCAACCAAGGTGGGTTTGTCTTACACAAACATGAAACTATGACTTGTTTTCTAAGATCTCCTTTGGAAGAATCCTCATTAGTAAGAGAAAAGGTCTGCCCTGAACTTTTGAATAGTGGTAGGTTTATTGGTTCTTTCCCCTTGTTCTAATGGAAGAATGTTTAGACATAATAAAGTATTATGAATTCTCAACTTCAGTCAATACTGTCATCCACAGCTCTTTCCACCATCATGGCATTTATTACATCTCCATCTAGATATCCATTGGCTGGTGCTAGAAATTCTTCATATCCTTGGTGAAAATTTGAGTAAGTTTGTGATTTTTTTAGTTATGCTCATTTTCAATCTGGTTGTTTATTGCTTTTGAAAATTGCACAAATAATAAATGCATTGGTTGTTAAAGAACAAAAATTCAAGTATAACATATTAAAAAGTGAAAGTCGATTTATTTTCCTGAGAAATAACTATTGGAAACAACTTAGTCTATTTATCTTTCCATTCTTATATTCTGTGTATTTTTGTGCATAGATAGAAACACATAAGGGTGGATCTTTGATTTTTGTTTTCATCCACAAATGGTATTGTACCGTTCTATGTGAGCTTTCATTTAGCAGTTTCTTTGAGGTATCTATTCACGTTAGCTGTAATATTTTAACTTCATTCATTTTAAGGACTGCATGTTATGAATCTATCATACTTTATTTAGCTGTATTTGTGTTTGAACAGTACCCTCTTAATGTAGTTATTAAAGGGTTCAACTGTTAATTGAAACGTTGGAGGTCCAAATCTGCTCCCCTTTGGAAAAGGATATGGCAGTCTGGTCCCTAAAGATTTTTAAGTTCCGTCTAGTTGGTTCCAACTCATAGCAACCCTCCATAGGGTTTCCAAGGAGCTGCTGATGGATTTGAGTCACAAGTTTTGAGGTTTGCAGTCCAGTGCTCATCCTACAGCATCACTCCTTAAATATTGTTATTGGTGGTGGTGTTAAGTGCCCTTTAATTGGTTTTAACACATAGTGATCCTGTATAGGATTTCTGCAGAATTGCTGTTAGGTTTGAATTGCTATCCTTGATGTTCAAACCAACTTGGCAGTCTAGTGCTTATCCTTCAGTGCCACACCAGGACTCTGTCTAAAGATTGCAGCCCTGGGAACCCTGTGGGACAGCTCTACTCTGTTCTACATGGTCACTATGAGTTGGCATCGAACTAACAGCAACAGGTTTGGTTCTTCTGGTATTTTTGAATGTTTAAATTGTGCTTTTTGTTGTTTATATTACAGATATTGATGCAGTGAGTGTCCTTGTTTGTAAGAGTTTTGTTTAACAACCATATTGAAAAAGGTGTCCAGTAGAATGAGCACTGTAGCATGGATTGTAAGGTCAGTATGAACTGCAAGGTTGGTGGTTCAAACTCACCCACTGCTCTTCAGAAACCCTACACAGGGTCGCTGTAAGTCTGAATCAGCTTGATGGCACATAACAAGAACAATATTGAAAAATGACATTCGGTTTCTTTTTTACTTTGCATTTCCCTGGATTACAGTGAAGTTGAACATCTTTATATAACTTCATTGTCCTTTTGTAATTATATTGTTTATTATTGTTGTTGTTAAGTACCATCGAGTTGGTTCTGACTCATAGTGACCCTGTATAGGTTTCTGTGGAACAGCTGGTGAGTTTTGAACTGTTGACCTTACGGTTCAAACCCACCTTGTGGTCCAGTGCTTATCCCTCAGTGCCCTACCAGGACTCCATATTATGAATAGCAATCCTTTATAAGAGTTCTGTGGTGGTACTACCACTGGACTGGTGGCTGCCAGGTCGGCAGTTCAAATATACCAGTCACTCCATGAAAACCAACTAAACGGCAGTTAACAACAATAGCTGTTTATATGTTGCCTGTTGTATTGATCCTGCTGTTTGATTTCTCTAAGTGCCTTAACATTTTAACAATCTCTGTCAATATTAATTATTTAATTATAAATAAAGGTGTCAATTATTTAGGTTATAAAATTATTCATTACCCAGTACTTGCTTTTTAGTGAATTAATTGGTGTTGTTATTGCTGTTAAATGCCATCGATTTGGTTCTGACTCAGTGACTCTGTATAGGGTTTCCTAGGAGCAGCTGGTGAGCTTGAGTTGCCAATCTTGCAGTTCCAATCTGCCTTGCAGTCCAGCACAAGTGCTACACCAGAACATGTGTGTGCATTTTCATATATATATATATATACAAACAACATGATGACACACATATATATATTTTTTCCCTTATATGGGCTCTACTTCAAATAATATTTCCTTAGAGCCGTGCTCAGGTAGGTTGATTCTGATACCAGTGCAACTTTGGATATATAGTACCTTGGTTTTCTTTATGCATAAACAGATTACATGTGATCATTGATCTGTAGTAATTAAAAGAATGTTTTAAAGACTTTGTTGATAAATAGCATCAGCAGTTTTGAGTGTTCCTGTCTGTCTATTCAGTATTTTTAAATCATATTGTATTAATGCTTTTAAGAAAAATGTACTCAGCAATACTTGGAAGAATTAGAAACTTTATAGTGTTGTTTATCAGTATTCATCTAAGAAAGGATATGTCCTCAAATTTAACTTTTATATGCAAAATACAAAATCACTCTATATGTTGCAGTTTTGGTGAGAAATTTAAAAGATATGCAATCCGTTTTCAAACTTTCTGAATTCGTAAAATCTACTTTAGTTTTAAATATAATTTATTTTTACATTTTCAGAGCATGTTGCTTATGGTCATCAGTTTATGAATGTGGCAGATGACAGTTTAACTAATATCAGTCTGTGTGGAGAACACTGTGAAAATCTCCTTTGTGATTTAATAAGCCTGTCACTCAACAGGTATGACAAGGTAAGGCTATAAGAGTTTATTGCTATTTCTAAAACTTCGTAGCAGTAACCAATACATAACACTTGTGGTTTAATCTGGATGATTTTATAATATATCATGGTTTGTTAGTCTTCTTATTTACTATTATCGGGGAGCTGATTGTAAAAATAATTTTGATATAAACATTTAAAACAGGTCAGAATTAGTATCTTGGAGCTGTTTTAAAAAAATGCTTAGAATCCTTTCCCATGTTGTCTTAAAAACAAATAAACAAGATATTTATGATCTTGAATGAAAGTTTAACTTCTGTTCAAACAGGTGAGTCCAATCTCTAATGATCTATTGTATTGCTTGCTGCATAATAAATGAACATTGAGTTAATTGATGAAATTTTTATTTGCTTCTTTTCAGAATAGTTTTAGAATCATGAGAGAAAAATACATATTTTTATTACAGTGTGCTTATCATAGGATGTTTAATACAGTTAATGATTTAAAGATAGCACAGAATCAGTCCTGTAAGCTGGTTTGAACTAGCTCAGGTATGGCCAATGCAGAGAAGTGGAATGATAGTTGGAATGAGAATATTATGGCTAGAAGTCCTGGGATGGAAGACGTGCAACAATGAATCCTTTTGGGAACCAGGAGATTTAGTTATTGCCAAAACCGTAGAGAGTGGCACACATTCAAAGTGTTGTGGTTGGCTACCATTTTTAAGTGAGGCACTGTTGTTTCCAACTCTGTGCACCAAGATCTTTGGTTGCTATGCAGTGTGTGTGTTGCTCTTGTTTTTTAAGAGAGAGATTCAGTTCCAGCAAGGTATAGACCATCATTCTTCATATTCCAGATACCATTACAGGTTACCCCCATTAAAAAAATTTAAATCTGTTTCACTTTCTCTTCATTGGCCATGACTGAACTGTGAAGAACCAGTTCAAAGCCTTGCATAGAATGTATTTGTTTTTAGGAGATGGATATTCATAAATTATTACCACTATCTCAGTTTACACACAATCCCTAATTTTTGGAAATCAGGATTTAAAACTTTTTAAGATTTGGAATCATATGGTTTTTATGCATTTACTATCACCATTTTAAAAATTTAATCTCAACTAACATGTCAGATGTGCTGGATTACAAAGTCGGTTTGAACTGCAGAGTTGGCAGTTCAAGCCCACCAGTTGCTCCTAAGAAACCACAGGGTCACTGTGGGTCGGAACCAACTTGACGACGCTTAACAACAACAGCCTGTCCAAACTCACCACCACAGAGTTATTTCCAACTTACATTGACCCTCTGTAGGATTTCCAGTGCTGTCCCGGTGTGGCACTCTGGGTTAATGCACTGGACTGCAAGGTCTGTTTGAACCACAAGGTTGACAGTTCAAGCTCACCAATTGTTCTTTGGAAACATTATATAGAGTTGCTATGGTCAGAATTTACTCAAAGGCACTTAACAACAACAATAACAACAAATCTTTTTGGGAGCAGAAAGGCCCATCTTTCTCCTGTGGAGCAGTTGGTGGATTTGAACTCCCAACCTTTGCAGTTAGCAGCCCAGCACTTAACATACACCACCCAGAGGGCTCTGTTTGAATGTAATCATTAGGTTGAAAAAAGTAAAGTAATTCGTTAATTATTGGGATACAAAAAATCCTAACAATTATTATTTTACTAAGTGTTATGTTAGAGATGTCTGTGTAACGTGAAATATTGAATACATTATAAGTTTCTGAAGTTCACTGTGATTGCAAATATAATTGTTATTGTTAAGTGCCATTGAGTCGGTTCCAAATCCTAGCGACCCTGTGTAGGGTTTCCAAAAATATGCCCTTTGAGGATATTTTTATTATAAAAATCTGTAAATAATATGGTGGTTATATGCCGTGGAGTCGGTTCCGACTCATGGCGACCCTGTACAGGGTTTCCGAGACTGTAAATCTTTACGGGAGCAGAAAGCCTCATCTTTCTCCCGTGGAACAGCTGGTAGTTTCGAACTGCTGACCTTAAGGTTTGCAGCCTGATTTGTAACCACTATGCTAATAATATAGGAGTTGCTTAATTTTTATACATTGCTAGTGTTTCTATTTGGTGGTGGTGCTTATGTGCCGTGGAGTCGATTCTGACTCATAGCGACCCTTTACAGGGTTTCTGAGGCTGTAAATCTTTATGGGAGCAGAAAGCCTCATCTTTCTCCTGCGGAGCAGCTGGTAGTTTCGGACTGCTGACCCTGACAGTACCAGCCTGATTCACAATCACTATGCTACCAGAGCTCCTTAGTGTTTCTATTTAATGTGTCTTTAATTTTTTCACTCTGCTCTTCAGTGAACGGAAATTTGTTTTCTAATCTTTTCATTAGTTATCTCTATTCTGGTAAATTGATTAGATCAGTGTCAGTGACCTAAATCCGGTCCATCACCAGTTTTTTTCAATAAAATCTCACTGGAACCCAGTCCTGCCCGTTTGTTTATCCGTTGCCAGTAACTCGTATTGCTTTGCAATGGCAGAGTACAGCAGTTATGGCAGACAGTATAGTCCATAAAGCTTAAAATACTTCCATTAGCGCTTTACAGAATAAGTTTGCCCAGGACTGGATTAAATGATTAAAGCAGAAGTGTTTTTGAAGTTGAAAATAAATTTCAACCCTGTACTTTTAGATGTAAAATGGATAAACTTTTATAATGAATGAAATGGCAGTTTTATAAATAATTTAATGTAATTGAACATAAGTTTTAACTCACCTAAATCATTCTTTTAAACCATTGTGAGAGAGATGTGGCCGCTGTCTCTTATGAATACTTCATTTTCCTTCTTTACCACAGGTTAGACCTTCAGAGGTGTTAACAACTCACCATTGCTCATGTTCATGCATTAAAGAATTATGGGTTCTACTCATTCATCTTCTGAACCATAGAAATAAATGGTCTCTCTCAGAAGTAAGTTGGGAAATATACATGTTAGTTTTTGCTCTTACGTATTGAATTTATTCAGTAGTTTTGGCAGAGGAAAATGTTAACTGAGTTCATTTTTTATACAAAGTCAACAAACAACCACTGCCAAAATGATGAACTGAATGCTGTGTATCTATTACATTTTTTAAAGTTCCTGAGTGATGTAGTTAATGCACTTGACTACTAACTGAACAATGACGTTTCAGTCTACCTAGACATGTCTTAGAAGAAAACAAAATCAACAATTGAAAACTCTATGGAGCACAGTTCTACTCTGAAACACACGGGGTCACCCCATGAGTTAGAATTGACTCAACAACTGATAAAAATGGTCTTTTTAAGCTTAAAAGAATTAATGTGAGACATCTAGCAGAAGCATAATATTTGACTCTTATTTTCCAAAATACTTTTTTCGTTCTATCACTAATGTCTTAAACTGGAATGTAGATTCACCTCCAGCAATTCTATATGGGTTCAGCCTTCTGTGTGGATTGCATCTCAATGTAAAGGAAACAAAAATCCTCACCACTGGTCTAATAAACAAGTTGTCAGAGACAAATTTTACTTGGATCAACTATCAACACACAAAGAAGCAGCAGGCAAGAAATCAGATGATTCCACTGAGTAGTATCCAGTCTGTATGGAGAGACTGATGAAAGGAGATGGGATAGCACTCATGTGGTACAATAGTGAATAATTCCATCAGGACTGACTATGAGGATATGTAAAGGTAAATGTTTTGTAGCAAAAGGAGGGGAGTAGTTGACTTTGCAGGCCTGGAGCAGAAGTGGGACCATCAAGGGAGAAGAGCTGAGTACAGGACCCTACCCAGAGAAATAGTGATGCCAGAGATAGAGGCAGAGACAATGACATGGAGAGATGGAGTGGCTGGGAACTCTAGACCCAGAGAGGGAGAGGGGCTGTGTGCTGATGACCAGGGGGCAAGCTTGTGGGGTATACCCTTTGGTTGGTTGATGATGCATGGAGGGGATTGTAACCATGGCAATGTAACAATATACAATAGAATGAATGTAAAGCTGATGTTCTCCCATATAAACTATCACATAATTCAGAAAACGGTAAAAAAAAAAAAAAAAATTAAATGATGTGTCACATTAGGCAAATCTGCTGCACAAGACCTCTTTAAAGTGTTGCAGAACAAAGATGTTGGTTTGAGGACTAAGGTGCACCCGGCCCAAACCATGGTATTTTCGGTAACTTCATATGTATGTAAAAGTTGGACAGTGAATAAGGAAGACCATAGAAGAATTGATGCATACGAGTTATGGTGCTGGAGGAGAATATTCAAAGTACCGTGGACTGTCAAAAAGAACAAACAGATCTTTGCTAGAAGAAGTACAGCCAGAGTGCTCCTTGGAAGCCAGATTGCTAAACTTCATCTCTCATACTTTGGACATATTAATCAGGAGGGATTCATCCAGTCACTGGAGAAGGATGTCATGTTTGGTATAGTGGAGGGTCAGAAATAAAAAGTGCCCAGTGGCAGCTACAATGGGCTCAGGCATAGCAAAAATTGTGAGGTTGTCCCAGTACCAGGCAGCATTTCATTCTATTGTCCATAGGGTTCTATGAGTTGGTATTGACTGGATGGCCCTTAACAACAACTAGCAATTCAGGAAACATTCAGGAACATGTGATTAATAATAATAGGCTCAGTTTTACAACATTATTTTAAGGAGGGGAAACCCACTGCCGAAAATCCCACTGCCATCTAACTGACTCCAACTCATGAATCCTGGTGTGGCACTGTGGCTGAATGCACCAGACTGTAAAGCAGTTTGATACCACAAAGACGGCAGTTCAAGCTCACAAGTTTCTCCTCGGAAACCCTATACAGGATCTCTATGGGTAGGAATCGACTCGACAGCACTTAACAACAACAATATAACAATTCTATAGAACAGAGTTGTACTATTCCCTAGGGTTTCCAAGACTATAAATCTTTTTGCAAGGGTAGAAAGTCTCATCTTTGTCTCACAGGTATCTAGTTGTTAACTGCTGACCTTGCAGTTATCAGCCTGATGTGTAGCTCATTCGCCTACCAGAGCAGAGAGAAGGAAGGTGGAAGAGGAGCACAGAAGGAAAGATGGAACCTTTTCCACCCCCAGTTTATTTTGAGTCATGTCTTCATAAATGGGACTTCAGTTTATTTCAAGTGCATTTGGTTAGTTATGTACTGTCAAGTTTATTCTGACTCATAGCAACCTAGAGACCATATAAGACAGAGTAGAACAGCCCCATAGGTTTTTCTAGGCTATAATCTTTACGGGAACAGATTGACATTGTTGTTGTTATGTTGTTAAGTGCCATCGAGTCCGTTCCGACCCATAGCGACCCTGTACAGGGTTTCCGAGGGTGTAAATCTTTACGGGAGTAGAAAGCCTCATCTTTCTC